TATACACACACCTGGGTGTGTGAGGGGAGGTGGAGTTATTGATATCATTTGAAAGCTGATTTTTTGCCTTGCTTTCTATGAAATAGATATTCATCTATCTTGAATAGAATTCAAGATATTTGCGATTAAAGAAAAGGGGGTCGCTTTGTTTCAGTGGTGAAATGAGCGAGAAAATGGCGCCAAAATTGGTAACGCCAATAACTAAAGAGTCCTTGAAAACATACCAAAATGACATATTTTTTGCCTTTAATCAATGTTTTTCAGCAAATTCATACGGAAATATGTTTTTTAAATGGACATAAAAGAGGTTGAGCCAAAAATAAGAATTCTATAAAAATTTCAAAACTGACGAGCAAATCCCTGTTTCTCCCCCAGTGACACAGATACCTACGCTCTCACTGGACCTTTGTTAGATGCATATGTGAGGCATCGTGGTGGAATCAGGCGCTCGTCAAATTTTGGGCATGTGGAGTTATTCTGTTATTGGTATCATCTTAAAGCTTGGTCACTTCCCTTTATTTGAATGAAAAAAATATCAGTTTATCTTGAATACAAATCGAGATATTTGCTAATGAAGGAGGTGGAGGTCACCTGTTTTCAGAGGTAAAATTAGTGAGAAAATGGCCGCAAAGATTAGTTATTTCCTTAGCTTAAGAGTTCGTGGTAACTGAACATTTACATTTTTGTGCCTTTAATCAACGTTTTTCATAAAAATCCTCAGAGAAAGGAGTTCTTTAATGGGCATGAAAGGTGTAGAGCCAAAAAACAAAAATTTGACAAAAATTCACAAACCTGCGGAAAAATGCAAGTTTCTTCACTTTGATTATTTTGACGAGAGCCTGATTCCACCACGCTGCCTCACAAATACAAATACATTCCGCGACTACACGGCTTAGTCCAGATAAAAGACGGAATATGTTCCAAGTGCTGAGTGTGTATGTTGGTGTTTGTGCCGCTAAGATTTAACAGTTATAAAAAAAAAAATTAAAAAACAGTTATAAATGACGTCGATCCATTTTTAAGGCAGCTTTTTCAACCAGAAGAATCTAACTGAAAACAAAGAGATGAAAGACAAAAGTGAATCTTCTCGTTTGAATGGTTCTCAAAATGCCGTGGCTCGCAGTGAGTATAGAAAAATCAGTATTGTTTAGGACTTATTGCTTGCTATATTGTGGTAAAGAAGTGTCAGCAACCTAAAAACCACCCAAATGTTGGTCCACCCACCGTCACTGATCCTTCTCAGCCCGGGCTGGCCCTGGCAGGCAGGATTAGAAATCCTCCCTTGGCTAAATAAATGATCTAAATTTTGTCAATGGGGCCGTAAAAAACACCTGCGTTTAAAAACAAAACAAAAACAGAACAAATTAAACAAACAACCCCCACCCCTCCCCTAAAAAAAAAACCCCAACAAAAAAAGATTTGTTTAAACCCTCCAAAAGCTCCCTCTGACCAACTGACCAGAGTTTCCCACAAGGGCTGTGAGCTCCCCAGACCGGAAGGTCATACAGAGATTGCGCAGAATCTGTAGCTTTCTGGGCTTCCGGAAACACGATCCGTTCCACCACTGGCCTGGTCTCTCCTTGACCTGGAAGGTGGGGGCAGGTGGTTGGGGGAAAAAGAGAGAGGGGGGAGTTGGTTGGGGAGTGATTGTAAAGATTTTACCGACACGTTGGAGCAATGTAGATCTTTAAGGTGTAGAGGTCGGAGCTGTATGAAGACAATCTTGCGAGTATCTTAAGCAAAATTGTCCGTCTGCGTAGACAATAAAAGCTTATAGAGGTCAGAGTGAAAGGGATAAAGTAGTAATGTGTATACAAGCACAAACACCAATAGGCTGAAAATATTATTATCATAGACACACTAATATGCAGAATATGTACATACAATCAAACCTGTGTAAAACGACCACATTTGTCGAAGAGAAAAATGTTTGTTTTAGACATGTGGTCGTCTTCGGCAGGGCTGGTCACAATGAAGAATACAAACCGTTCTCTTCAAAGGTCCCAACCGGAGGGGGTTGCAGGGTTAGGGCTCTGCCGTAAGGCTAATTAAAAGTGTTTTTTTTGTTCTTTTTTAAAACAGTTTATTTTTTGTTGTTGTTGTTGTTGTTTGTTTTTTTTGGCTTTTTTTGGG